GGATAATTGCCATTTTTATTGTTTGTTGTACAAGAATTATCCTCCGCAGTTTAAAGAACTATGAGCTCCTGTTACTTGCATTACTATCATGACCTATCGTGACCCAATTCTTTCTCAAATTAACAAATTTGTCTGTAAGATGCTACTGATAGGTTCTACTTTATTCCTCTTGTTCCGATGTTTCTGTATGTCTGTCTGACATTTTCTGGCCCTGCCTAACTGGCTGTAACGGTGTTGACTTGCTCTCCTTTAATATGTACATGATTTAAAAGTTCAGTTTAGTTTTAATGAAGGGAAGCACATCAACTCAATAACAGTCACTTTGTGCTGGGAAAAGCGGAACCAACTTTCTGGAACAACTCAAGAAGAAAAAAGAAGTAAGACTTATCAACAATGTCCTTGAACTGAAGACCTACAAGAAAGGAATTAAATAAAATACTGGAGAGGAACTTAAAACACAACACGAAAGAAGTTTGGTACAAGAAGAGAAAGCTAACAGTGAGACAACCTGTTAGACTCACAATCTCTATCTTTGTCTTGGTGGTGTGTTGACATTTTCACAAGAAGTATGCCATTCACAACCTGTATATAACTGACCTCAGTGTGTGTGACAACTCACTTAACTTGACCGTGGGCTATTCCCGAAATACCCCACACTTTTTTCAGGCTTGGGATGCTGCGACATTCGCTGAGCACCTGGAGAGAGTTTATTGCACTGTCCAAAGAAAAGAAGGATAAATACTCATCGGCTGTGTAAGTGTTTGTAGTTTTTACAAGTTTCTGCTGAACGATGATTCGTCAATGTTTGTTTCAGATCTGCCTCCTAAAGATGAAGAAGTTTTGGGGGGCATGTTATTGCCTCTCTCTGTTGATCTAGTATTACATAGGACTATGACACAGATTTTCTTGGGTGATTAAACAGTGACACACAGTTTGACTATTTGTTTTAATGTTGCATCAGGTTAGATCAAAGGCCCATTTAGTAATAATAATAATAATAATAATAAGAGCATTAATTTGTATCCTGCCTTTTCCCACAACATGGGCCCAAGGCGTACATAGGAGATTAAAAACGCTTTCATACTAACACCATACAAATTCATCATGTCCGCACATTTTGACAGCAACATTCTTTCAGACAATTTAAAAAAAAATGCTAGTGCAAAAAGGCAAGGTACTAATGTCCTTTAATTAAAATATTTCTTAAATAGATATTATGTTTTGAGTCCCCTTTTGAAAGTATCAAGTTTTATTTCGGTCCTCAAAGCATGAGGGAGAGTGTTCCAAACTGTTGGCCCAGAAAAAGAAAAAGCTTTCACCATATTTCTTCAGTGACACACGAGGTGTTGAAATTAGTCTAGAGCCACTGGACCTTAGTTCATATGATGGTGTGTATTTAGTGCAGGGAAAGAGTAAAGTAAACAGACGAAAGCAACTGAGGGGAAAAAAGCAGGACTTTCTAGTACCGGTACCACTCAGACTGTTCTATTTTGTTTTCCTAGTAACTCTTCTGATAATCTACATCCCATTATAGCCTGATCGAGGGGTTGGGGGGGTGTGGGGGGGGGGGGGTAGTGATAGGAAAATAGGGTTGGGATAATGTTGAAGGCCTATACAGGGTGATGGGAGATGGTACAGTAAGGTATGGTATATGGTATGGTGAATGCCCCCCCCCCCCGAACATTGGAAAGGGTGGGGCTGGAGAAAAGTAAAAGTTGGAAAATCTGAATTTTACGTCCATCTTTTCATTAATCCGATCCAAATGAATGGAAAGCTTTGAAAACTTCTTTAGTTACTGAAGTACAAGAACACTTCATGAGGAATTTGAACCAGAGTCACCTGCATTGTAGTCCAGCATGATGCCAAATGATCTGTCATGTCCGTTCTGGGGGTTAAGGATAAGATGTGTAGTAATGTGGATAATGAAAATAAAGTGTAGGTGAACCTACTCTAGTGGCCACCGGTCCAAGGCGACAATCACTTGAACAAACGACGGCTTCTCCCCTTGCATTTAAAAAAAAATTATGAAGGCAGTGTCCAAAATGTCCACCTGTCTAAGACAACCAGTTTTCCTGTCAATGTGTTGTCAATGAATGGCGGTCATGGACAATTTTGACTGTTGGCTTTATCACTAATTTGTTAACAATGAATGGCAGTCTTGAACTATTTTGACTGTAACTGTTATCAACTCCATGTGGGCCCCTTATCTTATTTGACATCTGACAGAGGACTTTTAAGATCCTAGTAGTTGGTTGTCTTCTTTGTTTTTTTACTTTACTTTAACTCTTAATTTTATAATAATCTCAGTAAATCAAAAGTTACTGAACAGAGGCTTCAGGGAAGTGAAGACTGTTACAGATTGTCAAAAAGTTAAAGATTCATTTGTTTCATCATTTTATCGTTTGATCTAAATAAATGAGATAATGTCATTGCATTTTGGAGCCAATTAAATCGTATTATGTTTTATTAATTTTTTTAGTGTGAGAGTTAAAAAACATTTAAATTAAAAAACAAACGAACTGATATGTTATTGAAAAGTACATTGATCATTGTTTTGGTGGAAATGCGCAGTATGAATGTAATTTATTATTTTTATTATTCATTTACACCTTATCAGTAAGACGTGATAGCACAGATCATGACTGTATATAAGACCAAATTTCACTTCATCAAACTTATGGAGTGATCTCTCCTATTTCTCTTCACCAAGATTTTATTTAACTTTGTGTGGTTAACCATACTAAACCATTCTTCCACACACATATTCACACTTTTTTACATATACCGAACCAAACATGACTCTCACACACACACGCATGCACACACACACACTCACACACACACACACACACACACACACACACACACACACACACACACACACAGTGCACGCGAAGTACTGAGAACAAAACCAAAAACAACAGCAAACCAGAAACAAATTAAACAAGCTTTCCTTTTGATACCTACCTTTAGTCCTTCAACTTGTTGCTTTCACTTTTAACTTCTATTCAAAAACAAGGAAGTGCATATAGTTGTACATTTTACGGCAATTTATCAGCACGCAGGAGCACTCGTTATAAATCTTACAATTTTTTAATATATACATGTAGAAATTGTACAAGTTGCTACTTAAGATGAACAATTTAATAAGCAAAACTTTTTTGCAGCTAGTTGTTTGAACACACAGTAAATATAAATCACCCTTCAACATGTAGCAGTCATTCTAAAATGTCCCTTTGTGATTTCTCTTGTGCCTTTAGCTTCTTTTTTTTTTACCAATGTTATACGATGTTCTCAAAGAAAATTAAAACGGAAAAATGTTTGTTAAAGTGCACACATATCAATTACATGATGTTACCTAAGAATCCTTGCAAGTATTTTCATTAATTGTATTACTTTTCAACAAATTACAGCGAAGGTCTCTTTTTTTAATGTATGTTTTTGTGTCAACTTTTCTACATCTACAATTAATAATAGCAGATGACCCCTAATATCTGTACTGTATTTTTTTACTACTTTTCAACAATTAATATCTAATATTTCCGTATATTTATAATTGTCTCTGCTTTTCTACAATTAATGATAAAAGTTGTGTTTTTGTTACAGGAGAAAACATAATCACACACTTCTTTCCACGACGTTCTTCACCATGGTTCTGACGTACAAGAAAAGCCGGAAGGCTAGGGCGTATTTCAGGTGAGCGTCTGTCGCTGTTTTCTGAGTGGCTTGTTGTGGGGTTAGGTTGGGGGAAATAACGTATGACTATTGATTGTGTCAGTTCTGATGCACTGTGAAGTATTTTTTGGTTTGTTGTGCATGGTTTTTGCTGATGTTGTTTTTGTTGTTGTTGTTAACGCTTTAAGGATGAAGCGGACTCATATGCCCGACCATCAGCAAACCAAAAACTATGTTGCATCACATTCCAAACCATCATTCACACAAATCAGAGACATGAATTTGCCTATTTCATAATATGCATGCTTTTTGCATGCCTCATTAAAATTTCAGACGAAGAAAACAGAATGGAAGAATGTGTAAGAATAACTTGGTCATGCCTCTTTTTTTATTCCCCCTGTGGCAGTGCCACTGACTGAAGTGCCTTTAGGCCATTCCCAAAGGGGGGACATTTCTCGTTCAAGCAAAGTAGAATTGTAAATGGGCTGACTCATGTCACGCTCATAACTGTGCCTGATCTACAACAGGGAACTGCTGCTTTTTCTTTCCTGATCCTTACTAATGTCATTTTCCTCTACTTCTTTTGTATGTTTGTCACTCTCTTGTGACCTGCTATTTTGGGCTGCCTTGATAGTCAAAGCAGACCTTGTGCTGTTGAAACTAAAGAGGTGAGCAGTCTAAGTCTGATTCCCTGTAAAGACTTCTCTGTTGACACCCACCCCTTGGCGCTCAAATGACCTTATGCAGTTGCGAGCGCCGTAAAACCCTCTACTATAACCAAAAACAATGTCTCTTTTTTAATAGCACTCTATCCAGAACAACACGTGTTCAACGAGTTAATGAGGGTGATGTGTTTTTTGCTGGTCTCTATATTTCTGCTGTGTCACCAATAGTGATGCTGTTATTGTTGTTGCTGCTCCTTCTGTTGATGCTGATTTTGAAGACGATGAGGATCCCGATGATGATGATATTGATTTTAATGATGTTAATAATGATTATGATTATGTTTTTCGGGGAGGGGAGGGGGGGGGGGGAGGAGAAGGGAGAGGAAGAGGATAATAATGAGTTCTTCAAAACCTATTTATCCAGTTTGACTAATTATGCTATATTCAATCCCTTCACATTCAGATGTGCACTTCCCCTTGTTCCTGACTCCTTACATTTCTTTAATCCTCTTCTCTGTTTGACGGATGATGAGACACTACAGTGGGTGGTTGGCAGGTGCTCTCTTGTGGTTTACTCTTTTTTTCCTATCAAACATCTATCTTTCTTATCTCTCCTCCTTCTTTTTTTGTGTTTGTTACACTCTTGCAATACCTCTAATCTTCGGCACTTTTATGACCTTATTATATTGCAAATGCTGTAAAACTTTTATTTAAGCAAGACGCGACTGATAGGTTAAATGTAATTCTTTTTCTATCCTGTGTTAATTCCTCTTTCTCTGTATGTATTTTTTCCTGCCCTAAATAACCGTCATTACATCAATGCGTTTGTCATCACACAAGCCAAAAACTATTTCTCTGACCCACCCCATGTGACCTTTGACCTGTTACGACTGGACGTATATAACCCACCTCACATGACCTTTGACCTGTCACGACCGGACGTATATAACCCACCCCATGTGACCTTTGCCCTGTTACGACTGGACGTATCCGCAGACACCAGAGACTGTACGAGGTATTCTGGGCGTGGCGTGACGCCAGCAAGATTTGTCGCACGGAAAGACAGGCAGACATGACACTGAGCAGGGACCACTGGCAGACACACAAACTTCGCTCCACATTCTCCGCCTGGCGGGATCGCCTCATGGTGTGTCGGGCTGAGAAGCAGGCCAACTTTAAAGTGTGTCGGTGAGTCTTCCTGACTGGACTTTATATGATGACAAAATAATGATAACAATGATAATAATGATAATAATAATAGTAATAATATTAATAATAACAATAATAATAATCATAATAATAATAATAATAATAGTTATAATAATAATGATAATAATGGGCCTAATAATAATAATAATAATGATGATGATGGTAATAGTAATAATAAAAGTATTAGCTTATCACATTAACTGAGGAAAGAGCTTAACTACAGAATTAGTTCCAAGTCAAAAATTAAATCCAAAGTAAAAAAGAGGAAAAATTCACTGTGGATCAATATTTCAGAATAAAAATGTTTTGAAATATGATGACCATGACCTTCATACATAAGAGTAAAGTAAAGTTGTTCCCTCATCCGTTCCGGACATTGGGGGTTGCCTTGTTAGTGAGACAACTTCCTGGGCCCTTGGCATATTGTGGTTGGGTGGCCAGTTCCTTTTCACGCTGCCTGTACTTCCCCAACTTACATAAGAACAAGTAGTGTATATTTGAAATTTTTTTTGAAGTTCTGTCAAAATAATGCTCTTTGTTTCTGTATTTTGTAAAGAACACAAGTTCTACAGCGTATTTTATTTCTTGCAGCATGCTTTGGATAGATTATAGAATTATATTTCTTTTTCTTTTTCCAGGAATGCTTTCATACTGTGGCTGCAAGCCTGGAAGAAAAACGTGGTTCATCGAGAAATGGTTGAGACGACCTTGACCCGTAACAAACTGAGACGAGCGCTGATCACGTGGCGTCAAAACGTTGTCCAGCTGAGACGACAACAGAGATTGGCTGTCGGGCTCATCGAGAACTGTCACTTGAGACAGACGCTGAGGACGTGGAGACAGTACACAGCTGCTCGGGTGGTGCTGAAGTAAGGGCTTATTCAAGTTTCTTGTTGATAAAAGTAATCGCAACAGAATATGTATTGTCAATGCTTGGAGACATTTAATATAACCAAAATGTTAGATGCTACTGGATCGCTAACAACAACAACAACAACATAACAACAACAAACGTTAGTGGAGGTAACTAAATTGAGTGTTGGTTTGGTAAAAAATGTTATAGGTCGTCTGTTTATGTTACCATATTAAAATGTAAAGATACTTTTTTTTTTTCTAAATAGTATAAATGATTTTTTTCTTAATGGGTGGGGCGAGGTGGGGGGGAATCCCTTTGCCCTTAAGCACCTTTATAGAATGACTTCTTTTCTGTGCCCCTAGTATTTCTACCTGTGGAACATGAAGACACGTATTTCTTTCTCTCTCTGTCTAGGAAAAAGGCATCTGTCCACCGTGCCACGTACCAGAGGAAGACTTTGTGCTCTTGTTTCCTCCTCTGGATGGAGAGTTGTCGGCAAAAAATGGCCGAACATCAGGCCTGGCAGTTTTGGTCAGAATGTTGTGCCAGGTAAATATTGTTTGGAGAATTTGAATTTTGCCCCTGGGGACTTGTGAAGTACTGTTATTAGTATGAATATATTTTGGATGTCTCTTTTTGACTTATCTCTTTATATTTGATCATACTTACACACAATAGTAAGGTGTAAATCTTCTTATATTTGAATTTTATTTCTTTGTTTAAAGTCACAACAAAATAGAATTGTCTACATGAATTACATGTAATTATAATCTATGTTCATTTTCGATAAGTGAAATGAACCAAAAAAATGTATATGATCTTTTCCATACTCTGAAAGCAACCTTTATGCTCTTTGTAAATGATTTGAAATTCTTTGATGTTTACAAATTATTCGTCTGTCATCTCTACATGTTGATATTGCTAGCGTAATGGGATGTAAGGTAAAATGAAGTTTTTAAAAATATGACAGATTGTTGACTGAATAATTACGTGCAAATAATCCATTTAATCCTCTTTTATTGAATTTTCTTCAGAAAAATGGCGGCCCGCTGGAGGCAAAATTGTCACAAACAAATCTTGTCGAGGCTTCTAAATGACACCCAGCCACAGAGAGAAAGCCGCTTACTTCACGGTAAAAACTCACGACTTGTTTTGTGTTTAGTGAATGTTTCAGTTTTGTTTCTCTTTTCTAGTCATTTTCTATTCATTTATAGACAGAAATGATTTTCATTCATTAAACAGCAGCAAATGTAAGGCTTGAAATTTTAATTTTCAGTTGAAGCATCTTTATGTGTATGTTCATCTACTAAAATGTGCGCGGATTTCAGAAATTTCTAAAGAAAGTATGTCTCATTCTTGACTTATTATCAGACTGAACTATTTGCAGAAGAGAAACTTAGGCTATTTGATTTAAGAATTTATATGTCTGTTTCTGGTACAGTTTTTGGTGGTTGGACAATGGTAATGTAGTTGGCTGGTATATTCATAGCTTTTGAGAGGAAGACTTTGACGTCTGTGGATAGCAGTTATGTGCTTTGCCATCGCACGTGGAAGACCTGAGTTCAATTATCATGTGGGGAGAATTTTTATTGAGTATCTCTGTCTTTCTGCTGGGTTGTTGTATCCCTCTCAGTCTGGCTTAAATTGACCCTGACTGGCAGTGTTGAAGCTTTCCTCCTAAATGATCTAAATTGTGTCACGGGGGTTGTAAAAACACATACATTTAAAAAAATAAAAGCAAACATAACAACAAGAAGTAAACTCAGTTTGTCACGTTGATAAACAAATGAATGTTCTTGTCTTTCACTAAAGCTATGTTTACCCACTGGCTTGCGTCCTTTGAGAGGAGAAATCAGGAGAAGGAAGAGGCGGAGAGTATGAGAGGACGCTTGGAATGGTCGCGTCTGCAGAGAAACTTTGAGTTCTGGAAGAACGCCACGCAGAAAGCTCTGATTATCAAGCCGATGGTTCAGAGACGAGAGAGGGAGAGCATGTCTTCGTAAGTCGTTGATTTGTTTTCTGAATAAATCATCAAATCTGCAAAGCGGCTGGATCATAATTTGAGAAAATTATAAGAAGGTTGTATTAAATCTGCAAAAGAAGAAATTTACGTGAGACATTTCGGGTAAAGATCCATCTTTAACATGCAAATACACCCCCTCCCCACCCCAACACACACACTCACACAGACACACACACACACACACACACACACACACACACACACACACACACACACAAAAACTTACACACTCCCACACACACGCACACACACTCACAAACACACACACATACATACACACACACACACACACACACACACACACCTACACACAAACACACAGGTTCATGAGCACATTCATACACATGCACTCTGTCACACATTCTGTTCTCCTTACAAATCTGTTCAAAGGGTAAAGTTAATGCTAACATGGCTGTATAGTAATGACATCATTAGCACATTTGTTTATATTTCCAGATGTTTTGCTCAATGGCAGCAGTTCATTGCTCAGAAATCTCAGTGGAAGCTTGGACTACAGACATGTCATAAGAAAAACCTGCAAAAGGCGTTTTCTTCTTGGAGGTGAGCTCAGGTTTATTTTGCTAGTTATAAGAAGCAGCCCATATATATTGAATCCCGAGTATACTTGATCTCGAGCAGTGCTTTGATCAGGATCAGCTATGACAATTCTCTCTTTGAAGGATGATTTTAAACAAACACGTCCAACTTTCTTATAATACAAGGTCTTGAAAAATTTCTATATATAGATGCTAAACAAAAGTGAACTCTTTATCTCTATGTCGGGGTCCTTTTTTTGGTACTAAATCTAAAAATGACAAAACCATCACTAAATTGAATCATTAAATCAACGCAAGTGAACTTATTTAGATAGTTCTTCATCAAATAAATACAATTTCGATAAAAGAGGCCTGTTTTCGGCAATTACCGAGGGGTAGATTGATGTCAAAGTCGTCGTAAAAGAATGTGCCTGAGCCGCTGTCAGCGATTCGCCTGTACAGCAGTTCCAACAGCGAGTTGCTGGGAGCGGCTTGCCGGAGATAAATAGTAAATGCATTTTCTGTTTGTTTGCTACAAGCATGTAAAAACTTGTATATAAGCGAGGAATACGCCTTTCTTTAGTAGAAATCATAGTTAGCAGCCATGGTCTTGACTAATCTGTCAGCCACAGGATGTTTGGTCTTTGTTAATCCTTTAGTAATGAAAGCTCTGAGAAATGTTTGATTTTTCAGCATCATTTTGAAATCTTTTCTGTTTTTTCTTTGTCAGCGTAGTAAAAGATATAGAATCAATTTCCCAATTTTAAGTATGTTTTAATTTTGGGAAGTTTGTGAGATGATTTTTAAAAAACCAACCCCGGTCAACTTGTTGCAGTATATTTTACCAAGCCAGGTAACGGACTAGACTTAAATAATTTAATTTCTACTATTATTCCAATTTCCCTACTTCTCACTGGTCCTGTTCCTTCTCTAATTCCTCTGTTTCTTCCTTCCCAGAAAACAGTACAAAGCCGTGCAAGTGGAGAAACTGATCAAGAAGCAAATTTCCAACGGGTTACTGCTCTGTTACCTGGAAGAGTGGAGGTTCTTGATCCTACGCAAACGCAAGAGTCGAGATTTCCGCAGCAGTCAGCTTCTCCGGAATTCTTTCACATACTGGAGCCAGAGAGCTGTGGCCCAGCTCAGGCAGAGAGAGAGAATGGAGGAGGAGGAGGTACACAGGCGTTTCTTTCCTTTATTTGATTGAGTGATTGCAGGATTCTTCATGATTTTGGTTTTGTTCCTGCATTTTTATAGTGCTTTTTTCCCCAGACATCGGAAATACTCTATACATTGACAAAACACAGCTGATAAAAACCTGTAAATTCTTTGCCATATCGACAGGCCGAAGGGCTAGAACTCAAATGGCTGCTGGATCAGAAAAGTAAAGTAAAAGTATAATATTGTGCTTTTAAAAAATCTATTTTATTCTGTTGAGGTGGACACCAACACTTCTGGTTTTCTTTTCTTTTTAGCTTGTCCTTTAGGCAGGCCCAACATTTTCTGGGAAATGTTTCAAGAGTTGAAAGTTCGCTGGTGATAATCCGTCGACATTAATAGAGAAAGAGACAGATGTGCGAAATAAGAATTTGGGGTTGGTGTTTCCTTTTGCGTCGTTTTCAAGTAATCCGTGGACTTTTTAAAATAAAAGCTTTCAAAATTTCTATTTAGATATGAGATACACTCCCTTTACCATACGTAAAAAACTATGTTTTTTTGTGCAGGAGAAGAGCTTCTGGATGATGCTCAAATATTTCTGGTTGTGGTTGGGGAATACGTTGCTTTCTCATCCTTATGCTTCTTTTTCCTCAAACTAAAGTGCCTGAACAATATCTGTCAAAATGATTACGTTGCTTTATTTATTTATTTTTTGTTTGCAGGAGTTGAGCTTTGAGATGAAGCAGAAATATTTCTGGTTGTGGTTGAGGAATACAATGGTATCTTATAGTTACACTTCTTTTTACTCAAACTAAAACATCAAGATGATATCTGTCACAACATCAACAATTATGTTCCTTTGTTTTGTTTGCAGGAGATGAGCTTTGAGATGAAACACAAATATTTCTGGATGTGGTTGGAGAATGCCAGAGGTCAGGGTTCAGAGACTGGGCAGGTCTTGGAGGGTTTTCTACAGCAGCAGGAGCGGGCGAGGGTGGCCAAAGCTTTCTGTATGTGGAGGAGACACATGCACTCCACGCTTATCGCAAGGTCAGTGAAGTAGATGTCAAGTGCAGGCTAGCTAGTTGTTTTGAATTCCCGGGGACTGTCTCTGTTTCGGCAGTTGGGAATTTGTGAACTTTATTATATTATTATTATAATACTCTACATTAAAACCAGTTCCACTTTTTGTAATTTTGATTGTTATTAAATGATATGGTATTATAATATTGGGTGTCCTTGGTTTGGTTTTGAAATAGTTGGCAAACCTGGAATTTTGAATTTGTGTAGCAATGCAAGAAAAACCGAGTCACTTGTCGTGCTCAGAGATTTTGAGGCATTGAGCAAAACATCAGTCTTTTCTCAACATTCTCTTCTCTGATTTCACGATTTCATGTGGCTGTAACACTGGAAACAAAGCAGATAGACTAATGCTGTTTTTACTAATGGTTTCTCTCAGCTTGGGTTGACCCTGACAAAGCCATCCGTCCAAAAAGTTGTCTTCTTTATTCCAATGGGGGTGCAACACAGTGGCAACATTATCATTCACAGTCAGTAAAGGTTGTGTTGTAATCTTTTTTTTATATTGCATCCCAGATTTGATTGTACTATACTTTTTTTTTTGTCTCAGATGACATAAAAGGCTTATTGTATTCTTTTTTTCTTTCAGATTGCCTTATGTGTTTTTTTCTGGTATCAGATTGTGTTGATATCTTTTTCATCACATAATATGTCTCAAATTGTATTTCCCTTATCTCTGAATGTATTGGATTATCTGTCAACACGTTTCACCTTGTGTTGCCCTATTTTCCCTCGTTGTCTCAGGGCGTACCAAAAGAGTCACAGCCAAAGACTTCTACGCACACTTCTCCTGGCGTGGCAGGAAGCCAAGAGCAACGCGGAGACAGACGCCATTCAGAAGTTCTCGGAGAGGATCGGCCTAAGCGAGGCCAGCGGCAGCGATGTAAGACAAGATACCCAGAATTCCTCTCTGCTCTATCTGCAAGATGGAGGGGCTGATGGAATGTGGGAGCTTGGTATGTCGTTTTACATGAGAAGATGGATAAGATGGTACTTCATTTATCCAGCATTAATATAAAGTGGATGGATGAAAGGTGCTCTGATATGGTTTACTCTTTCTTTTCTATAAAATGTATATCGTTTTTATCTCTCCTCCATATTTTCTTTGTATGTTACTCTTTAGTAACTGCTCTAATCTTTAGCACTTTTTTGGCCTAATTGTGTCACAAGCTCACAGGAATGTCAAAGAATTATATGTTGATGATAGGGCCTTTCAGTGGGTGGCCACTGGGTACCATTATGTCTTTTATACCTATGTATAATAACAAATGGGGCTTTATGCAGTAGCAGTCAATGAAATTATTGGTAAGATACTGTTTATTATGTAATATGGATAAATGGTAATTTTATGTTTGTATTTGTACATTATTCTATTATAAATAAAAGATTACCTCAGAGGTGGTTGGAGAGTGCCACTGATATGCTCTACTTCTTTCCATTCCCTTTGTTGTTTCTGTCTGTCTATTTTACTCTTTCCTTGCAATAAATGTGGTTATTGGGTCAATTTTCTTCTCTTTACTCAAACAAACAAACCAAAATTTACCCATGGGTATCAATAAAGATGGAATTAAAAAAAAAATATTCTGTAATCTCGTCACTTTAATCTTCTACATCTGTTTGCAGATTTCACTCTGGAAGACAATGACAGTGGCCGGTTCAACAACAGCTTCAACTCCTCTCTGTCCCTAGCCTCATCCGCTCGGAGGTAAGCTGGCTGGAAACTTTCTGGAAATTTCTGGAACTTTCCGGGTTTTTAGGGTCTTGTTTGGGGTTGTTTATTTTGTCACTAACTAGAGCTGATATCTCAAGGGAAAGAAAAGTTTTACTGGCAGCTGTGGAGTAGTGGAGGTGCTATGATGTCGCAGGCGTAATACTTGAGTTCAATTCCTGTATGGGGGGAATTTCTAACCAGTATCTCTATCTTCGTTTGACAGAGTAACCCCATCAGCCATGATTGTCCCTGACATGTATGTCTAAGTGTGTGTCCTAAATGATCTAAATTGTGTCGATTGGAGGGGG